CATCCAGCTGTCGCGTATTCTCCCGGACACCCGGTATCCGAACCGACTTAAGAAATAAGTCCATTTGGCGTTGTAAATGCTCACGCCCCTCACCCACATCCGGACAAAAATAAAAATCTAAATCAAGAATCTATCTTGAAAGCAGGTGATACAAATTTGAGAATAGGTCTGTTTTCTAATTTTCTCTCATATTTAGGTGTCATTTGTCAATGGCTGCTTGTTATTACTTGCCATTTTGTAATTCAGCGGACTAGCGGCGTTGACGAGCTAAGGGCGGGGCGGGGCAGAGCAGAGCGGCCGCCGTCGGTGGCTTAGTATTGTCTGGTATTGTTGTACAGGGACGGGGCCTGCCCCCTGCCCTGACCTGCCTGACGCAGTATTGTTGGGTAGAGGAAGGAGCCTGAAGCGCGACACTCGGACAGTCACTCACTGATTCCCCTAGCGCCAAATAAATTGTTTTATACAGGGGTTTTGTGGCGCAAATTGCCTACCTTTCAGGCGGCTCTCTAGAGACGACAGGGGGGCGATCGCCCCCCCCCCCTTAATACGCGCCTGCCGACTCATATACCACCCTCGACGCAGTGCCACCACGGACCACGGGCGGTAACCACTACGCCGTCGGAAGTCTACGAGGGGGACGTGGTGAAATGATGGGCGTTGGTGACGAGGGAGCCCTTTGTAAGTGCCCGAGGGTGAGAATGGGCGGCCGCAGCGCTGGGAATTTCGCTTATGGCCCACGGAAAACACAGCTGTCGTTTCCTTGACGTACCCTCCCAACCCCCTCCCCCTTGATATTGTTTTTTTTTCCATCCTTGTTGGCATTTGGCGCATTTGTTGGGAGAAACACGCTATAATTCTCACACACAAACGATAGTATATTTCAAGTGAGAAACACAACAAAATGTTTTACATTTTTTAGTCCAAATAGAAGGGGACGGGGCAGATATTCCTCAACAAAAATGAAACTTAACAAATCATTCCACAATTTCCCAGCGAGGAATGGTGAACCAGTCGGCATTATCACATAAAGTATCATCCCGCATCTCCTGGTGGCAGCCCAGTGAACACCACGCGCAACGACCACCTGTGGAGCAATAGCTTTGCACGTAGGTGGAAAACTCCAGCTCGGGGTTCAAGGACAGGAGTTTCTGCACCGCGCCCCGGTGCAGCGCGTCGTGCGCACACTCGACACTACTTATAGTGAATACGTTGAGGGTGCGTAGGGCCGGCGCGTTGGCAGGCGTGATGCCGAGCAGGAGTTCGTCATTGGCCTCGCCGTGCACCTCCAGGTGCTTGAGCGCCGGCAGACGGGGCAGCGCCTTGAGCAGAGACTGCTGCTGCTGAGGGATGTGGTCCTGGTGCCAATCTTCCACGTTGATTGACAAGTCCTCAAGGTGTGAACGTCCGGTCGCGGCCAGAGCCAGCACAAAATCCATGTCCGAGGAAGGGGCCATGCCGACATATGGTACACACTGGAGCCTCACCTTGAGCAGTTGGGTTGCTCGGCGAAGAAACTCGGCGGTGGCGAGGGCCTCGCCGTCGTACGCTACGCAGAGGTGTAAGAGTCTCAGCTGCTCGCACCCGGCCACGGCCTCCAGCCCGGGCATCATGCCACACCGCAGCCTACGAAGGTGTGGCATTCCCGCTAAGAGAGTAGAGGCTGATGTCGAGATCAGGGGGTAGTAGCCGAGGCTAACGGACTCCAAGGTGGCGGCGTGCGTGGACAGAATTAAGTCGCAGAAGGGCTCCTCGTCCGGGCTTTGCGGATGGTGTTCGAAGCTCTTGAGGGACGCACCGGGAAAGGACCTGTGAAGACCGTCCAATAAAGATGGCGCAAAGCTCAGGAATCCTTCAATTTTTAGCTCCTCTAGGCCTGGCGTTGACGCTACCGTCCCGAGCAACACAGCGGCTTCCACGTCATCCAGGACACTTTTCCAACTACAGGGGCCCAAACTAAGCCTCCGTAGCCGACCAAGCGCCGCCTGGTTGCGGATGACAAGGCTTGCTTGAAGTGCGTCTTTTCCTGACACGTTATTCAAACTCAATGTCAGCTTGTTGACGGCACACCTGGTAGTGGAGTACAACGTGTGGAACTTCTCCAGCGGGACGTTGACGTGCCATGCGCGCAGGCACGGCGCCAGGCGCAGCACAGAGCATTCGTTGTAACGAGGGGTCTCGTCGCCGCAGACGAGTTTGAAGCGCTGGTGCCGCCAAAGCTCCGGGAGCATCGCCAGGGCCCCGAGCCGACGGCACACGAGGCGGCAGGCGAGCAGGTCCTCTATTTTCAGGTACTTCATCACCTCGAGCAGCGCGTCGTCCGGGAGCAGCTCCATGCCCTGGAGGGACAGAGATGCGGTGCGGTGAGCACGCTTGACTAGGCGCGTGTGCAGAAAGGGAGAGGGCTGGGGAGGAGGGATTACTATGTCTAGGTTTCGTGATGACACCTCGGATGATACGAAAAAAATCATTTAAAGTTTGATTGTGTGTGTGGGGGGGGGGGGGCAGGGTCTTACGTCACCTCCCTTTTAATTTGCATCAGACGTGGATTAAGGGAGGGGGGTGATATCCCCCCCTGTGGACGCTAGAGAGCCCCCTGACAGGTAAGAAATCTGTACCACAAAACCCCTGAATGTAGGCAACCGACAATGCTCCCTCTCCCCCCCCCTCTGTCAGCCAGACCTTAATCCGCGTCGCGTCAGTTTTGCATTGCAATCCGCTCATGATTAAGAGCCGCGCCATGACATCCCCACACCAGCAGTCCCCCCCCCCC